TATCAATCAGCTCAATGCCAAAGTACTGTCAGCATCCACAAACTACATGTTCCTGGCACACCTTCTCAATCTGCTCAGTTAGGTGATCTCCAGACATACTTCCTCTGTTATGTGCCGCTAACCCTCCCGCTGAACGCAGCACCCTGCATCCCCTAAATGCAGTTTGAGAGGAATGAACGTATGGCTCCTGTGACAGTGCCTCACACACTAGGCATTTGGAATGGGGTTCTTAACCTTCTCTGTTAAATTCTCCCCCTTCCAGATTTGAATATAGGTGATGGTGACAATGGGGAGGTGGAGAAGAGTTGAGAGATGACAGGAAGAAGGGCTTTGCATCTATGACTCTTCAACACTGATGTTTGGGCACTTGCTGGGGATGGAGGATTCCACCTTGGGTATGCCAAAGAAGACAAAATATGCTATACTTTAATACTCATCAGAGCAGTAATAATTATAAACTTTAGGCTATGGAGTCATGTCTCAGCACTCTGTCCCAATAGATATTTAATTATTCCATATAAATTGGCAACACCCCAACAAGAAAAAGTAAAATAATACCTGCCGGCATAATGCATTGTGCACTCTCATGGGTGAGAACAAAAGCACTATCAGGTCCTCTCTGGTCAAGAAGGGAGCTGAATATGGATTTCCACATCCTTGGAAAGCGCCCTAACCAAATAGCTTCTTCACAAGGAAAATTGTATCAGTCTTTACACATGTTGCAAGAGAAGTCTAACTATGGTCTTATTTACAGAAAAGAGATCATGATTCTGGACATTAACTGGAATAAGGTCCCAATATTTTAATGAGACGGATTTTAAGGGAATGGCATCTTGACCCATTTTTTGAATTTATTATAGGTGTGTTCTGGTTTTTGCAGGCCTTAATCCTGGACATAAATTTCTTCCCATGCAGTGCACCACAAGATATGGTCCTTAACTAATATCTGGACATGATGAGATACCTCAGACACTATAATTCCCAGTTCCCTTTTGTGACTCAGTTCTTCAGTCCTCCTCTCAAACCTCACATACAGTCCTTCAGGAAGTACCCAGAACAGCAAGGAATTAAAACCTGCAGTTCCCAAATCCTGAGTTAGTATTTTCATTAATAAACAAATCTTGCAGTGTAGTTTCCAGGAAATTTTTTTATATACATGGAGATACAAAGATAGAGAAAGAGATATATAGTGCCTGTGCTGTCAAGACTAATTGCCTTCCACAGTGCTGCAAGGCTTTTTGTTTTGGAAACTAAAATATTTCCTATCTCTAAGTACAGCTCCTTTGAGAATAGTCTAAGCCAACTGAATATTTTCTCTCCCAGAAGACCAGATTTTTCATTACGACCCAGTATTTGTTGTTACATGGGCATATTACCTAAAATGACAACGCTGCTGAGGAAGAGCAGGTCACAAAGGTCATTTTAAAAGAGCAAAAGAAAGAAAGGCAGAGAAGCTGGAACCTCCTGTTATTATATATGATTAGTTAAACACATGTTTAAGCGCTTTTTGGAACAGAGGTGAATAAACTGTTCTCCATGTCTACTGTGAACTGAACAAAAAGTAATGGGTTCTAATTGCAGTCAGAGAAACACCAGTTTGTCATTAGAGAAGACTTTCTATCAGTGAGGGAACAAGTTACCTGGAGAAGTTGTTGACTCTCCACCATGGGAGGTTTTAAATAACAGATTAGACAGGAACAGTTCAAATACAGTTGATCTGCCCTAGGGCAAGAGAATGGACAACAGGAATTTTTTCAGGTTTTCTTCAGAACTATATTCTAGAGTTCCTACATCGTGACTAACACGTTGGACTTTTTCATTTATTACCTGATATGTCACATTCCCTGCTTGCTGTATGAATATATGAAACAAATAAAAGCCTCCACAAACAGAGCCCAGTAAACATTTTTAGTGAATAGTGAGCTTGCCCCAAATGGTTTCATTGATTCTGAAACTATCCACCAATTTAAGTTGATTTTGTCAAGTTGAATTTACAGGAGGGAAAACCACAGGGATAGATTCACACAAAAAACATTCATATCTGTCTTTCTTTCTTCCTTATTCACTAACACCCACCCACTGAAATTATTTTGGTCTATGATATTTACAGCTCTGCCAGATACATTGCGACATATATTTAGTTTCTGTACAGGGTGAAATGCAATAATAATATGTTGGTAGTTAATATTGCATTTTGCATCTGGAAACACTAATATCACCTATCGTTCTAATGACCAAAGCTGTTAACGGTGGAATAAAAATCAAGGACGTGGTGTTTAAATGCATAGGCCATACCAAAACATTTATCCATTTCATGAGGACCAGGAGCTCCTTCAGGATCCATACCTGAACAGCACAGAATTTAACTAGAAGCATGCAAGTAAAGAAACTGCAGAGAAAAAAAAAAAGCAGCAGTAATTATCACTGGACCCCAACACATGTTTTTTTAATTCCATTGTTCATAGCCACGGGATGCTACGTGGGGTCATTCATGTTAATAATTTGGATGCAGCTGGTTCTGGCACATATGATGAGCTAATATATTCCCTTGACTTTTCACTTGCTTTTGCAAAAGCCATTCAAAATTACAGTCTCTGAGTTTGGGAGATGTCTCTCTTCTGAGGGACTCCCTGAGAAGGATGGGAGGTTACGGGATGGGTCGTGACCCTTTCATCTCTCTTAATGGATGAAGATCCAGTCCCAGTACGCTGTAAGAGCTAGCATCAGTTTGTTACAAACCGCTATGATGATCACAGGTGAGAGAGTTTAGAGGCCAGCCTTCTCTGTATGGCAAATTTGTACAGTATTGCAAACAACAATCTAAAAACTTTTCTGTTCTCTAAAAGTCTACACTTTTGGAAAAGCAAATACATCAATACAAAGGAGGGCTCATAGGATACCTGACCTGGACACTGAAAGCTGCTTTCCTTGTTTCATAATCAACAATTATGATTGGAACAAAAATACAGAAAAAGAACCAATTAATATAGAAAATTAACATATAGACAGCCAAGGAAGGTTTCAAGTGGAAGGCATGAAAGGCGGATGGCCTCTGGACTGAATGATCATACTTGGGCTTTTATTGCAGAGGAACACTGCATGAAAGAGGGGAGGTTTTTTCCTTCCACATTTGGGACATGTAATTGAGGATGGAAAAGGAAAGTACAGAACCATCAGTTCCCACAAGGAATAGACCACGAATAAGAATTTCTGTAATGTATTAGATTATCCAGTTACATTTTCATAGGGCAATTTCTCATAGAAAGCACAGTACTGTGTTGGATTTGTACAGCAGCTGGTACATTCAGCATGTGCTAATCAGCTCTGACTCGGAACTGCCAATAGTATGTTGTTCTGTCAAAAGGAAAAAAACCAAAAGCCTGCACTTCTAGTCTGTCTTGCCTGCAGTTGGACCCTTAAAACATATATAGGTATGATTTTTAACGGGACTAAACACTTTGTGCACCCATTAGACTGATTAAATTTATGGCTAAGCAGCAAATTTGAAAATGAGGGTACCCTGGACTCTGACTGCCAGCACCCTGGCTTGAAATGTTTATTCCAGTTTCTAAGCAATAGTCTTCTATTGTCTTGTTTTAAATCAGAATGTCATTTTCATAAGATAAGCAATGTTTGGAGTTGGCCCTATATACTCAGCATAGAATTTGGAGTTTAAATTCCCCTGGACAAGACAAGCAGCACACCTCTTAGACAGCAATGAGTTTAAGGAAGATGGGGTTGAGAGTCAAATACTTTGATGAGGCAGGAATGAAAAGACAGTCTGTGATCCACTGTCTGTCTCGGGTACTTGAAGAGATAATAATACACTTTCACCATTTTAAAGCATAGAGCTTCGTGCAAAGAAAAGACAGAGATTAGCTAGCTGTATCTTCAAGCTGGGACTCAAATGTTAAATCATTCATGGGATATATCCTACATTAATGTTAAGACTCATTTGCTCTGATTTCAGTCAAAATCAGAATGCTTGTTCTCATTAATTCTGCAAGCTTCTTTTGTTAATTAATTTTTACAATAAATTTCTTCATTTCTTCAGAGAGTTTTGTTCTAGCCACCTGCAATTCTGATATATCTTTTTAAAGAATCACATATAAAATGTCATGTAGAACTACAATTTGTTTCTGGGTTTTACATTTAAAAAAAGGAAAGCTCTTTAAAATAGTCATGCCTAGGGAAAGTGTTTTGGAACAACTTTTAAAACTTGAAATTCCTTTCGAACCATAACAACAATGGAAATTTTTATATATTTCCCTCATCTTTGATTTTGGTCGGGAGATTTGCAGTTTGCAGTCCATGCCCACTCTATTTCTGTCTCACTGTTTAAGAACAGAGCAATTCATTGCTTGGTTCTGTGGGTTTTGTTTTTGTCTTTGAAGTACAAACGTGGTGGGAGGCAATTAGTTTAGATTGCTAATTTAGTTAATAATAATCTGGAGGCAGATTAGAGCCAGAGGTGACAAAGAAAGGTTTTGAATCCTTCCACTGGCTACAGAAGAAAAGCAAAGGTGTATAACTTACTTCTATATATCTACTCCTTATACAGAGACTATTTTGTTTGATATCTCTGTTCACTTGGGCTATGGAAAAGTTCAGCCCAATGTCAGTCCCAGAAATATGGAAAGTCCTATTAAAATTTTTACACAGGATACAATGACTGTAATATTAATAACCTCAGTGGTTATTAGCAAGCAGAGGAGATATATTCTCTTTTGGGGGTAATCACAGACACCAAGTATCAGGTGGAGTACACCAAGGATGAGAAAAAGAAAGTTTTTTACTTCCCCTTTGACAGATGGCAATTGAAAGGATGAAGAAGTTAGCGACATATTCAAGGTCAGAGGGATAACACTATACATCTTCCATATCCTAATCTAATTCCTTAATAAGGCCATTCTTTCAATCTTATAAATCATTGCATGGCCTTTCTCAGGCTTGAGACATCTCACTCATTATATATTTTAATTCTTAATCTGTTAAATTACCTCTTGGTTTTTCTGCAGATTTTCATGGTCTGTAGCAGATGTTGTCTTCTCCCATTTCTCTGCAACTTGATTTGCTTCTTCTATTTTTTGCTCATAGCTTTTCTGGGAATTTAGCAGTGTCACTTCATAAAACTCTTGAATATCTGTTTGTAAAGAGGAACAAGTAAAAGACATTATTTGACATGTTGGCTTTTGAATCCCTGGTGTTTTTCTTTGGCCGATATATACTTACACATTATCATCATAATGATAAACACATATTACATTTCTAGCAGAAAGCACTGATATTCAAATTTGTTTTCTAAAATGTCAATGAGATTCTTGAGGTATATTCTCATTTTAAAGAGGTCTTTACAAATAATTTCAAAGAAGTAAAGGAATAATATTTATTAGAAGAGATTCAAAGAACATGTTACATGTACACTGGAACACCATAGATAGAACAGACCCTTTTACAGGGAGAAATAAGTCACAGATCATTTTAACTGGTAAACTAGAAATCTGCAGATGTAAAATACCCTAAGAGAAGCTTGTTGTCGGACACCTATTCCAGGCACCTGAGCCACTCCCAGCCCTACCTGCAGGTGCATTTGGGAATTATTTTAACTGGGATGCACAACTTGAAGGAAGACTTTGTGGATTCATCACTTCAACCTGTTTCATTCAGAAGTGGCTAGTTAATGTTTGGTTTCAACCAAGAGTAAGCAACAAGCCAGATCTTAATATCCTGTTCAGATGTTTCTATCACAGTTACTTCCATGGGGTATGAACAGATACACAAGATCCAGCAGTGAAAACCCTTTCACTGAAACCTGTGCATGTAATGACCTAAGGAGGGGAAAAAAAGGTGTTTCCCTTCCTTCGGGCAAGAAGTTTTTAGTCAGATAGTCACATTCAGGAGGTGACACATTGTCTAACAGAGATACCTGACTCACCAAAGAAGAAAAAAACCATCACATTATTTTAATTCAGAACAATGGACAGACTTTCTCCTGGATAAGAAGGAAAGAAAACCATTCCAGGGAGAAAAATTGCATCTACCTGGATACCCCCTGGGACTTCAAAGGAGGGACTATTCATGAAAACTATCATGCTTTCAATAAGCGGCTCTCTCTAATGAGTGCTACCTAAGGCATAAAGAATGTGGGAAGGCATGACCCTCAACAGGTAAGTGTCAGGAAAGGTAGAGAAGGGGACAGAAAAACCTTTCCAGTGTTAGGTGAAGAGATTACAGGGAAAAATGAAGCTTACTGTACTTACACAATGTCTTTCATAAACATTGTGACTGTGTTTTTTTACTTTATATTTTGTGAAGAAATGTTCTGTTTGCCTGTTACCTTAAATTGGATTGAATTAGTAGTAGCCCAAAGGTAACCAGACAATCAGAAAACATTTCTTAATGGAAGCTGTGATAATTCTATGCCTGACAATATCAGGAGCCCAAGCACCCCAGGATGCTCCAGCGTGTCTAAAAGTAAAGAGTATGTTCCCCCGGAAAGCTTCTTTGACCAGAAGAGAAAATTCTTCCAGCATTAGCCATAGAGCCTGCCTGGCAAAGAGGAAAATATTTGGGTCGTGTCTGAACTTCAGAGGCAGCCAGGGATATTGTCACACAGGGTCAGATCCCTCATCCGGGCCAGGAAGGCATCGTTTCTAACTATAATAAATAACCTGCTGTGGAGGTACATCTGCGTTTTCGATTGTATGCTGCCCACACAATAGGAGACTGAACTGGATTGCATCTGACAAGCAGAACTGAAAGAGCGGGAGGAGGCAGAGAGGCACGCAGCAGAGGCACCCGGGTTTTCTTTCAAGGGCCAGTCAAAAGTATTCAACTGGGTCTGTGCTCGTCCTCACACGAAGTCTCTGGCCAGATTTCTCTTCTCTCTTTAGTAACAACAGAAATTGAACTTTTCTTCTAACTCCTTTTACAACATTTTGGCTTATCATGTACTCTAGTTCTCATGTACAATGGGAAATATTTATTGGAAGTTTTAATTTTAACATCAATAACTCTGACCCGTAGGAAGTAGATGCTAACTTCTATTTCACAGATATATTTGTAAGAATATGTTTCATATTTCTAAGAACATTTAGTTCCACCATTACAACTAGGACTTACTTTTAAAATTAAAAGCTATAGGATAGTTGCAATGAGAATGGAAGTTTCTCCGTTCTCATTGGGGGGATTTTTTACGGTGATTTTGAATGCTCATAGTACAATTGCAAACAGTTGTAATATATGGTTCGATGCCAGGTCAATTTGTATTGCAACTGCAAGTAAAACATATCAGGCTAATATGTAATTATCTCTAGATAAATACTTTGCAGAAATAAACTAGAAATTGCCCTCTGGCAGTGGCATTTAGCTGGCATAGCTGTCATTATCAGAGTATTAATTGGGTTGACAGTAGTCAGTCAAGGAACAGCAGAACAGTGCTTTCGCTCTAACTTTAAAGACTGCCTCGCCCTGGTGTTTTCATTAAAAATAATGTGTGAGCCACATTTGCATGTGTATGCACGTGTGCAAAATAAATATTAAAAACTCAGTCTCTTTGTAAATGTCCTTATCTATTCTGAGGAGACTGTGGGTTGCTTTCACTAGAATAATGATCGCTGGTGTGCAGAGAAGAGCATTTCAGTGTACTTATGTGGTTACAGAAGAAAGCACAGAGGATTCACTTACTTGGTTGCTTTGTTATTCCGTAAACTAAAATTGCCATTTCTATGGAATAAGGGCAGCCAGCAACTTGCATTCCATCAAGGTTAGCATAAAATAGGGTTTGTGATTTGCTCTGAGTAAAACCTGCTCTATCGAGTTATCTCCATTATGTGAGAGGTGCAATCATACCAGGAGGGGAAAATGGCTGAATGCTACTAAGGATGGGAAAAGAGGTGATGGGATCAAGCAGTTGATGGGATCAAGCAGTTTTAGAACCAAGCTTGGAGCCAAGGTCATAAAAAGTAGTTGTGAGAGCATGGCAATCGTTACGTAAAATGACCAAAATACAGTTTGTCTCCTAGTGGGGGCTTACAGGAAGATAATTCAACAAAGAGACTAAAATCTTACACAAATGAAATCTGTACCGACTATTTCTCGGCACAGTATTCCCTCCCCTCCATGAAAACAAGTTCAGATTTCATTTAGAAATGGCAATATTACTATTCATGAACTCCGTGAGCACGAAACACCTCTCCAGATGAACTCTTCGAATCTCTGTACCATTCCAAACATTTTGTTAAGCAATGAATTCATGTTTGTTTAAAGTGTCTGTGAATCTCACTGGATTTTCAGTCCAACAGAATTTGTTCATTTACTTCTTAAGAGATTATTTACTTTATTTAATAAACTCTACTCGCTCTTCCTTTAGCCTAGCCAAAATGTTTTGTCAGTTTTGCTGCATAAAGATAAATTGCATACAAGAAATTATATATATTCTAATATGAAGTAATCCTAAAGATACCATGATATATTTTATTTTGGATAATTCCATCACTGGGGAAGTGGGAAAACAAATTTTCTGTACATCAGCATGGTGGGGAACACATCAGTATCACTTTACAAATGCCCATGGAAAAGTATACCATAAATCACTGCATCTGTGCTCTGCAGGGAAACTCCAAGAACCCCCCTTCTCCTTTCTTACAGACCTTTGCAAGAGCGAGCAGGGTCTGGCCTTTATAGATATGCCAGGGAGCACTTTCTCTTACTAAAGCTGGATGCATTTCTCAGTGTGAAGTCTTGTTTTGTTTACTGCCATTTTAAAAAAATGTATTAATTATTTAGGCTCAAATTAGAGTTACGTTCACTCTTACCTTTTTTTTTTTTTTTAAAGAAAATTTAAAGAAAAATAATTTGGCCAAAGAATAAGAATGGGAGAAGACGCAATGTCGTATTCACATAGAAGTGCAACCTTTCTTTCAGACAGCAGCTACATAGAAAGAAAAACCTGTGATCAGGCAAAGCTAAACAGGCTGCCTAAACTCTGCCGTTTCCTGACTTTTGAGTGATTGGTGCTGCAGCCCTGCGACCATTATTCCAGTGCAATTTCTGTTTCAATTCATATGCATCACAATATCCATTCGTTATAGGAACACTTTACAACTCTCATAGCAAAGGGGTTAAAAAATATGAAAAGGCAAAAACGTTGAATAGCTTGAACCACTTTCTGTCTTCTGTGACCGTGGGCTTTCGCCAGCATTCTAATGAGGAAAAATAAGATAAAGCAATACAATTCCTCATTCATCTGTAAGCACTTCAGCACCAGGAAGATAGAAGTAAATTGAAGGGAATTCAGACAAAGACAGATGATTAAAGGTCTGAGAGGACTAACTTTTGAGCAAAGATTAAAGGAAGAGAATAATAATAACATACACTTTCATACTTCCTTTCATTTCAAAGCAAAACAAACATTAAGAACCATGAAGTATTGGCTGAGAAAATTGCACAAGGCCTCAAGCAGGGTTGAACTGTGGAAGCCCTCAAATGAGCATACCAGGTGTGTCCATCCCTTAGTGATCAAAAACCCACTTACAGTGGCTTCAGAATCACCAGTGGATTTGGGACAATGTTACTCCATTTGAAAAAGTCCTCTTTGCCGCTGCACGAGCAAATCTGGAACCATTCCCTGGTGTGCTAGGAACGAGGCAGGAGCCACTCACTCCTACAAGCTTTCTCCTTTATTCAAGATACTCGCCAGTGTGATTTAAAGCCAGAAGGGAAAGGAGGTCAGGATTTGCTCCTATTTATGCATCTTGGTGCCCTCTTTACTACAGACCCATCTTCAGCTGTGTAAATCAGCATAATTCAGCCGGTAGCCCCAAGGCTGGATGAAGTATATGAGATAGCTTTGGCATCTGTATGATTTTCACCTACACAGAGAAGCACCGGCAGGTACCAAATGTATCTCAGTACTTTTATGCACATTCAGAAATCTCGCCATCAAGGCACACGCATCCCAGTACACTGAACAGCTGGCATTATCCCAATATATCTCTTTAACACCAGCTGACCTGTAGTTGCACTTTGCATGTAACATGAGTTAGGAAGAAAGAATATCAAAAGATGGGTTTTCCAAGGTAATAAGGTGCAAAATGCAGAGGGGCTCAACTTGAGCTGGTACCGGTTTACAACGCAGCCATA